TCAGATGTGGGGTTAGCTTCATTCAAAATGTTTTGTCTTTTTGCAAAGAATTAAGTAGTACCACAAAAGCAGACAGATGCTTCAAGCATTCATTTAATCACCAAAGAGAAAGTAAAGTTAGCTTGCAAATAATTACAGTGATCTACGCTTGAAATATCAAATAGCAAATACTGTTTCCTAGTGAGTAATAGAGTATCTCAAATTCAAATCATGCATAAAATTTTGCTTCCGTTTTTCAGTAGCTTTATACTACTAGGTAATGTAAGTCCTGGCTACCATGAATAAGAGTTTTAAGGTTACAATATCTACAGCTGGGAAATCTGAACCAATAGGGTAAAGCCCTAGGTTTATGAGACCCCAGTACACCTTTGCAGTAAAGTCTGTTTTACCACTGTTTCAGCGGTTTTTTGGGGCAGGATTTACGGTTTTCTTCTTTGTAAATACAATGCCTTAAGAACTGGTTTGTGATCACAGATTTGTGCCTCTCCAGTGCTACAGCAATCAAAGGAAGATAATAAACAACATTTTAAGGCTCTGGTACTGTAAGTTGATTGTCCAAAGCCACAGAGCAAAATTATGCAGAGGCAGATTTAGCACAGAAAGAGCTTCTATTACCCAGTCTCAATCTCAGACCATTATTTTGCTTCTCTCTAGCAAATGACCTTGTCTGATACTCTTCAATACATCACATGGGTCTTGCCAGGCCACTAACAGCACCTCTGCTCCTCTGAGTCACTACAAAGGCAGTTGGACAGCAAGCAGCTCCTTTCTTCTTGGTTTGGCTCTCACAGGGAAGCCCTTGGAAGTGCAGAAGTAAACCCTGGGAGTCAGGCAGATGTTTTAGGTGATGGGCAGGGTAGCAGGCTTCAGGGCTGGGAAGGACCCAGCATGAGATGCAGACTGAGTGCCTGAAAAGGAGCTGGTAGCATGATCTTAACATTAATGATTTTTTTTTCTGTCAAATGTTGAAAAATAGTTCACTGTTATGAATTGCATTATTAACATACAAAAAACTCACCCATTCAGGAGACAGGTTTATTAGTTCAGGCCTTTGTGAGGGTCCAGGAGTGTGTCTTTATGTTATCTGGGCTATGTCTTGAGGGGACCCTCTGCCTATCTCCCCAGATTTCATGAGAAGTCTCAGAGCTGGGACAGTATTAGGATGCATCACCACCCCTTGCAGTACGTCCTTAACACAAGTGCTTCACCTTGTGATTGTGTGGTTGTGGTATTCTGGCTTTGCATCTAACTCACTTGGTCTCTTACTAAGAAAAATACTTTCCTTAGCCTGGGAGAAGAAAGTACTGAACCCAGCCTGTATCCCACCTATCTGACATGATTGCTTCCAGCAAAATCAATGGAATTATTTGTGCAGGATACGGTCCAGAGTTAAGAAATTCTTTAAAGCATGGGAGCAAAAACATATGTGTCTGTACATGCTGGAATTCATTCATTTTCAGACACAGACAAAGGGAGTATTAAGGATCATGAGAGAGTCCCATAGTGTACAGTGGGGTGAGGCATAGGGCAGGGTAAGGTGGAATAGGATAGGAAAGGAAGGGAAATAATCTCAGTCAGGCAAATAGGATAATTGTCCAAGTAATTTCTTCAAATCTGTTTCAAGGTGCCTATTTGAGGCCTAGTTGGGGCACTTGTTTTAGGTTGGGGCTTTCTTGAAATTACAGTTTAATTAAATTATAATAAAAATAATATTAGAAGTGGGTGCAGGCTGCAAATACATTACATTTTTCTGAAAAAACAAACTAATTAAAAATAATTTCCTCTCCTCTTTCTTTGCCAAGACCTATTTTCAGGACTCTGTGCTTCCCCTCGAGGAGCCAATGAAATATCAGGCACCTAAAACAAATACAGGCAATACACTCAGGACATGGCTGGTAAAAAAAAAAAGAGGAAAATTATTTCTTCTTTTTTTTTTTTTAATTATCTTTATATTTGTGTGCATTTTGCTGTTAATTTTGGCTGGTGTATACTTCTCTTTATAAAACAACAACTTAACCATTCACCTTTCATATGCCATTAAACTCAGATCCTGTGTAATCTTAGGTTTCTGTGCTGGCTGTTTCCAGGACACAGAGCAATTCTCTGTAAAGCTTGGATGTGAGGCACATCTGGGTTGAACAAGGACAGTGTAAATCTTGCCCCTGCTTACCCAGAGTTGTCATGCAGTGAGCAGAACAGGGTTTTCTGCAGATCTCCTCTCATGTGCCTGCCGCCACAGAGGCAGAGTTCATCCCAGCAGCACATCAAGATGTAGGACTGGTGTCTCCTACACATGTATTCAGTCTGCCTCTCCCAGAACCAAAAATCTCAGTGGTGGAGCCTCTCACTCTGCAGAATGGCTGTCAGAGAGATGATTAGTGCTGAGTTTGATTTGTTTGGATTTTCCTCATTTTTATTTACTTCGGGGTTTCATAACGCCCATCTTGCCGTCTGCAGGATTGTTAAATATGCAAGTAAAATTTCTGTGTGAATTAAGTTTTAAGTGAGGATTTAAAATAAAAAAGAAATGTAACAGTTTTATTTTTATTCCTAGTAGTTTGTAATGCTTTTCTAATACATTGGGTTTGTGTTCTTTTACAAAATCACTGTATTATTACTCAGATGTCTCAAACATGGTGATACATTCCTCTGTAAGGCATTTCCCATCCCATTTTTATGGGAGCTGCTGGGCAGCCAGCTGAAGAGTATTTGGGTCATTAGACTCTCATTGAAAACACATAAATAAATGTATTTTAGTGTTCTTGAATGTTCTCTGGACCAAATGTGATATAAAAGTTATGTAAGTCCATATGTGATCTCAGGTTGGGTTTATGTAAGAAAAGAATTTAAAAAGATACTGAATTCTTCATTAGCACATCATGACTGTGGAAACCTTGCCTTTGACTAAGAAAATGGCAAGCAAGTTTAGGTTGGTGAAAGCCATGGCAGAAGCAGGAATATTTTAAGATATGGGCAGGAGAATGATTTACCATGGAGAAGGTCATATGTAGCCTTACAGTTTGTCAGCCTCTTCGCATGAGTCTTGTCAGTGTGGGGGAAGTTCCCAGTTTCCCATTTGGAAAGCAGGACAAGCTACCTCCCATGTTTTGCAAGGTTGTGAGTGAGAGATGGGCCCCAGTTTACATCGTGTCAGCTTCCTTATCCTATTTTATATTCTCCTTCACTGTTCAATTTGGCTAAGAGCATTTAGCCTGGCTGTGTTTCCATGCATGCAGAATAAATTATGCTCTCAAGAAGTGGTGGGAATGTTGCTCAGATGATTTTAACCATGCTGAGACACTTCTTATTATGCAACCTTTAAATGCCACAGTGTCAGTGGTGGGTGAAGTTATTGCTGTCTGGTGCAATTGTGTAGTGCAAAAATTAAAACTGTAAATTGTTTTGGTTTTGACCCTATTTTATGTAAACTTTGCATCCTTTCCAAAAGAATGTGAGGACTGCAGAGAGAAACATGCAGGAGTTGGGAAATAGAGAAGGGTCTGGTCTTGCTTTTGTGCATTGTCTCTTCAATTTCATGAATTATGCAGTGTTCTCTACTAGCTTCCCATCTTTCTGATGGCACAGGATGAACAGTGTTAGAGACTAGCATCAGATTTGTGAAGTAAAAGATGTCTGTGTCCAAAGACACCCAAGCTTTTTTTTTGCAGGAAATGCAGGCAGCATCATGAATGAAACAAGGAATTACAGATGGAAAGATGAAGCTGTTCCCTTCCTTTTCTCTAGAGTCGCTGCATAACAATAGCCTGTAGTCAAGTATTTGAGCTGAGGTATTTAAGGGAAGCCTCTAATAATGAATGCAGAGTTTTGGAGCGTTTAGAAAGTGACCCTGGTAAGTCCTTTGCAAATGATGCAGAGCATGCTTGAAGGTGATTTGAGATATTCTTTGATCAACTTCTCATCTGATTGGTAATGCAAAGTGCCCTGGAGAAGTTAAGTTTCTGCTGTTTCCAGCTGAGGGTTCAAGATCAGCTGATACTTCTGATAATTTTGATTTTCTGTTTCTGTCTGGTTTTGTGCACAGTTAAAAGGTAAGGACCATACCAGTTCCTTTTCGAGGGTATGGAAGCAATGTCACAGTACTGGTGGTAGACCAGGCCACTGTAGAAAGAAACCAGATGAAAGTGTCCATATAAATATTTATCATCTCTCCTCAGAGCTTGGCTTGGTCACTTCATACTCATTAGAAGATTGGTTTTAAATCCTTATTAACTGTCCATGCTGGTGACTTCACCTTCTAGGCTCTCAAGCTCATTGAGTTCCATACCTCTCCTTATCTCTGCCTTACTATTTTGCTCCTCTGCTTTTTCTTTTCACTATGTCATGGGAGAAACTGTGCCTTATGGAGGGTGACCCTCTCAGTTCTGCACTTGGGACCACGTACTTCCGCCTTCACCCCCATGTCCCACTTAAGCTGTGTGTGTTGCCATGGAGAAACATCTGTGAGGATGGCAGATACCACATCTGTCCAGTACAGAGGAAGGCTCTACCACATTCATGCAGAAGTGAATCTATCCAGCCTTTGCAAACAGATTTTTTTCAAAGGTTTATAACTTAGCCAAATCTGGGCAACTTTTAATAAAAACTTTTCCCCTGCCAAAGTTTTAAGTCCTTTCTCCAAAACATGGAGGCACTGGAGCTTTTTAATGAAACAGTTATTAAAAAAAAAAAAAAAAAACTAGCAATAATAACATGTTTTTCTCTCAGTTGTTCTCAGAAAAGTTGTTCTGTTGTTCTCAGAAACGGCTGAACCAGTTCAGCCTGATTTATTTATTTTGGAAAGGATCAGCTGAGACAAACTTTTAGCATGGGAAATTTCAGCCCAACTGGTTAGCTTTTCTCAAAGTTTGGCAAAGTTTAATGCAAGTCAAAATGGTCTTATGCTGAGAAGTCAAAGGCAAGCTTACATATCAGCAATGTTCCTTCCTTGGGATAGAAAAAGACTATCTATATCTATTAATTGCTTTTTCTTAATATTTCAGGTTCTTTGAGTATATATTGCTCTACAAAGATGCGGTGATGTTTCAGATTGAACAAGTTACAAAGCTTTGCTCGAAGATTGCTCTGACAGAGCCATGGGATCCATATGATATTCCTGCCAATTCAACTTACGAAGATCAGTACTACATTGGGGGACCTGGAGATGAAGTTATGGTACAGGAATGGTCTGACAGGAAACCAGCCAGAAAATGTATGTGCATGCTTTTGTTTTATTTTAATAGTAATCAATGTCTCTGCTGCACAGGGAAAAATAAAATTATTCATGTTTCACCCCAGCTTTCCATATTTCTATAGAGTTCTCTGGAAGAAGTAATGAAAATGCCCTGTGCACAGGATGTCATTTTAATAACTGTGTTTTTTTAGGAAAATTTCATATTTCGGCGGGATTAAATATGTTCAGAGGACTCGATTGTGTTGTATTTGGTATCACACAGAGTTTGGCATGGAACAGCATCATTTTGTTTCTGAATCTGTATCCAAAATTTATCTAGAGAAGAATTGGTACTATAATTAGGGGCACACTCAAGCTAGAATCTGTGTAACAGAAACAGAGCAGGTGTCAGTGTTTGTATACACATAGTTCTGCAGCCATTTAAATCCTTAATATAGGCCTAAATTTTCTTGTACCAGGTACTGGTAAGAAATATCTTCTCACAAGGCTTAGTTCTGCACTTGGCAGCTGAGCACTTGCATCATAAAAGAAAGGAGGCTGAATTTTCCGAGGTATAGTATGCTAGTTGAATGCACAGAAATTTATTAGCACTTTGGCTTCAATTTCATCTGTGGTTTATTGATGACCCAGACAACTATAAAAATAATTTTAAAACCTCCATGACATTTATGAGAGTATTCAGCTAGTGCAATACTTACGGTTATGGACATCTAATATATAGGCTGGTTACGAACTTGAGCATTTAGCCAGAGGAAAATACTTCTTTCTTGAATAAAAGTAGAACCAATGAAGTAGAGAATGAAGGATAAGATCATTAGACCTCTGTAACTAGGTTGATATATCCTCTGGTATTCTGCAAGAGGCAAATTATCACTCACTCCAATGATTTTTTTTTTTCAGATATGATATTTTTGGAATTTTTGTGGAACTTTATCTCCAGATACATTCAATTAATGACGTGTGATTTTAATCCTGTATTATTTTGTATCTCCAGTGCTTTTCTGTATGATCATTCATAAACATAATGTCTGAAAGTTACCTATCTACCTTTCAGCTAGTGTTGGTTTGAATTGAAAAAATTATATTTCTTTCACAGTTATAAAAGTTTTATAGGGGAGATACAGGCTACTTTGGTAGCATCATATTTAACCATGATTTTTTATTCTAAATTTTGAGAGAAGGCTTGTTCAATAAAAGGTTGCCCCATTTCTGTGTACTCAAAACCATATTACTTAAGGTCAGAATGTTTTTGGTATATTAGCATGCTCAAAAGAGGTATATTCAAATATTGCTCATCTTGCCACCCTTTCTTTGAATACAGTATATGTGTTTCATGTCACCATTTATTTATTTCTGGCAATGTGGTTGTGCTACAGCCTATGACACAAAACTGAAAGTAGAGAAAATAAGTGTGTGTGATTGCTGCTGGATGGGAGAAAGTAAGTGTTCTTGGGACTAGGAAAATTCATTACAGACATTCCTCAGACAAACTGATTTATGATCACAGTAGGTAATTTTAACATTGTGAGTTTCTGCTGTCAAGAGATCTGAAATGCATAAAACAATGGGATGGAGTATGATTGAAGAGGTAAAGAATGATCACAGAAATAAAATAATAAAAGAGAGATAAAATAATAAAAGAGAGATAAAAGCAAAGGGCATTCAAAGGACACCACTTCAATGGTATTACTGCCACTGCGTAAACAGCATATTGGAAAGGTAGAGGTGGTGACAGAGAACAGAGGGGAAATAGAGTGAGGGAGCACCCATGAGGTTAGCACACTGTGGAGTTAAACTGAAGTTAAAAGAGGAATGGACGACTTGCTACATCCCATTCTGGAGGAGATCAGCATTGAATGTAGTCTTGAGATAATGAACAGCTAGAAGTGTTTGAAAATAATTGGAATTTTAAAAAATATAATGAGAATCTGAATAGATTATGTTAAACAGAAGCAATGAGTTAAAAGAGACTGACATCATCATGACCCATTCATCTTGTCTTGTCACCTAAAGCAGTCACATTTCTGGTTGGTTGCAGTGGAATCCTGGGTCGGCGTTTACACTGTCAAAGACTGTTACCCAGTACAGGAAACCTACACCAAGAACTACAGCGTGACGACCTCCACTCGCTTCTTTGACATCCACCTGGGCATCGCAGACCCCTCCGTGTTCACTCCACCCAGCACCTGCCAGGCAGCCCAGCTGACGAGGATGAAAGATGAATGCTGAGTATGGACACTGGCTGCCCTAGGCAAACACATATTAGCCAAGAAGATGGTTATTAGTAGTCAGTTGTTGACATCTAAGTTGATTTTTCAAGCTAATTGCTCTCTTTGGAAGTTGTAAGTTTTCGCTTGAGAGAGAACGTAAGCGTGTAACTGAGAAAATACATAAAACAAAAGATCTCTTTCGATCACATTAATCTGCTCAGTGATGCACTTACAGTATTATATAGTTGCCATTAAGATAATATTTCTAGATACTATTTATTTAAGGTTGATTTTCCTTTTGCAAAGATTTCATTATTTATTTTTTCACAAAGACAAAGCATAGGTAGACAGCAGCAATGGTACTGTCTAGAAGAGAAAGCTAAATTTTGTTGTCGTTGTTGTTACTTCTGGAGACTTGAAGGGAAAGATGACCTGCGTAAAACCTCATCCCTAAGTGAAAAATATAATTTTAAATTATATGCATCAAAATTGTGTAAATTTGTTCTTTTAGTTTTATTCTGCTTTTTGTTCTCTTTTGGTTGATTTTTTTTTCTTTCTGCTCTTCAGGAAGCTGGTAGTGAATTTTTGAGCTAAGTTTTGTTCTTTCTGAAAAGAAACTGGAGTAGCTGTATTAATTTGCTGACATGCAAAAAATACTTCTTTGTTTCTTGGGAGAATGGTGTGAACATAAGGGAAGGAGGGAGAGGTACACCTTCAAAAAGAAGTAAGCCAAAGTTTTTTATGCATCTCCCTTTTGGAGAAGGCTTCTCCAAAGGGTGTGGTGAGACAATTTTCAGTCAAGTTTTACTTCAGCACTCACTTTTCAAGGCAATACTAGTTTTAACCTATGGAAAGGGATTAAATGGTTCTGTACTCTAAATGGCTTTAATGTTTTGCAACTACTTTCAACAGTCTTTACTCAGGGTGTGGAAACACCTTCATAATTCCAGGGAGGTTTGAAAAAAGAAAAGCTGTTCTTTGTGCGTAGTTAGTAAAGGCTGCATCAGCATTCACACAGTGCCTGGTGGTTGGGATGGAGAGAAAGACAGAGCCTGTGAGCTGTGTAGAGAGCAGGAGGGAGGAATGGGAGGCACAGATTTTAGATGTCCTCTGTGCGGTGTGGCAGCAAGGCACTACAGTCTGAGCAGATCCATTGATGCCTGTTTTATTTGCTGTTTCATCAGCATCTCAATCTTACTATCTCCACATAACCAAAAAAGTGCAGGGAGTGCACATATTTTGCATTAGAAAATTCAAACCAAACCTTCATGCACCTTTGATACTCTCAGAAGTGTGATGGGTTTTGCACATGTACCAAATGAGATTAAGTAGTTTATTCTGTAAGGTGTGCATTTTATTTACTACTTGAAAAAGAATTTAAAGGCAGATTCTTGTCCTCTTAACACATGTTGGGTACTTGTTTGCTCCAAAAGTCATCTGGCTGTAAATGAATGTAAGCCCTGGAGAGTTTGGTGTCTCCAGAGGAGAGATGGTGGGCTGGCTTTTAGTGCTTTATATACTCATAGCTTTTTGTACATAAGCAAGTGGGACAGTGGTTGTTTTTCTTTCACAGTTGTGGTCAGAATGGCATTTTACTCTGCCCCGTGCCTAATGAAAGCACATATACATACTGGTTAAAATTCAGCTAGTTCACTAAAAATGTCTCTTGGAGAGGGCCATTTCACTGAAACACGCTAGTCGAGAGAAGGATTGGGTTTCCTTGAATTTAGAGTGCATTTATTCTGTACTCGCCTTCTGTATTTTTTGTGTGACACTCTAAATGCTAACTGCATATTGTTCTCATTAGGACAATGATTAGCATGCATTTCTTAATATGTGTCCTGTTAGAATCTGGAAAATATAATAAATCTGGCTAGCAAGCATGAAGCTGTGGTACTGAATCGTTTGGGATGGCTTTGTTGCGGTCGAGCAGATAGCTGGGTATTCAGGCTGTCTGTATTATGTTTTGCTGACAGTGATACAGTTTCTAGCAACAGCATTAAGTGTTTCTTTTAATATGAATTTGCAAATTTGCAAAATTCTGGTACACAAAAGTGCTTTAAAATTTTTGCCCTGACTTGCAGGGCAATTTTATATGGCTAAATATGTTCCTCTAAAACAATGATGTTGTCTTCATATTTATGCTCTACAAATGCAATGCAGAGAGTTGTCAAAGAGATATCAAGCAACAAAATTTAGGATTACGTATTTTGAATTAGCCACAAACCAAATATGAAGCACAACATGCGTATGCCTGGTTTGTTATCTTTGTTATGATGTGCTTTGGTTTGTTGTCATGTACCACAAGAGACATCTTGTCTTTAGGCAACTATGCCAGTGACTCAGTGAGAAGGAGCATAAAAGGAATATAAGGTAGCTATATAGTATGCTGCCACAATTGAATAAAAATGGGGGTTTCATATGTCTGATAGTCTGGGAAACTTGTTTTCACAGTTATTTGGTGAAAAATTAATAACAAATTGGTATGTACATCAGTTATATTGTATTCTGTGGGCTTACAGCAGCAGAAACTGGTAGCTGGATAGTGTGTGAGGCAAAGCTGATTTTGTGAGATTTCCAGTGTTTCTTGGTTTCAGCTGGGCCAGAAATAGTGCAAACATAGATGTGCCTGCCATATTTTTGTGTTTCTGCTTGGAGTCTTCTCTGAAAGCAGGATGTGTAGACGCACAACATTGTTTAATTTAAAGTTAACCAAACATTCCTGAACCTCAAAGAAAGGTTTAGTTTGAGTTTGGGGAGGAGATCTGGGCATTTGGTTCAGTTCCTATTTTAACAGTTTGCTTAACTCTAGTATTAGTGACAGATTTTGCTGCCTCAAGGCATGCTGCACACCATGGAAGTGCTGCCATTTACCAAGGAGTGCCAACTTTCATGAACAACATAGGAAGAAACAAAATAATCCATTGTCAAAGTCAATTTTAGTCAAGAAATCTCTAAACAGTATGACATTCTTATTTTGGGACATTAACAAAATCAGTGTGTTTCTCACTTTGAAGTTAATTACATTTTAGTGCTTACACGTACTCCTTGCAAACTCACGTCTCTTTTCCCACCACCCTTTACTTCCTAACATCAGTGAAGTCCACTTCCAAACAGTGTTTGCAGCCTTCACTTGCATTTATTTCAGTAGGAATTGAGCATTTACATAACTGATGGATCTGAGCTAGACTTGACCTATTTATTTTGCCAGCAGTTCTATCTCAAGAGCAAGGGCAGTGCGAGTCATATGTGAGCAACATACACTGAACTACATGTGGGTGTCCAACAGAGACATCAGAGTTGTCTCACATGCAATTGCTGCTGTCCCAAAATACCAGTTGATGAGAGGTCTTGGCATGTCTGTTGTATCACAACCTGCATCTTCTGCATCCTTGGCCACAGACTGTTGCTGGAGGCAAACTGCATGATGTTCCCACATGACAGAAAGGCACATCACAGGATCATCAGTAGCTTATTCCCTAACTATAAGGAATAAAGATTTCAAAAGGGTACCCAACGCAAATAGACAGAGGTCCCTGACTATAAAGATCTGGAGATCACAGTCTTTCCAGGAGGCTGCATGTATGGCGTGGACTCAGACACTCAGAGATTTAGTCTTCACATCTGCACTTTGGCATAGGAACAAATGAAGCAAGCTTGGAAGACTTTTTAAATGATCCTGGGCACTTACTGCTTTATAAGGGGAGAGGGAAAAAACTTATGATCCAATCAGTAGCCCCAGAAAACTGTCAGAAATGTAGGACAAGATGCTGCTCTGAAGATGGTAGTGGAAATTTCCAAACACTACTTTGATTCAGCATTCTCCAGGGTAAAGATCCATGTGGTGTGGTATGGCTATTTGAGCACAGAGCCCGAAACTGCATCCTGAATGAAGTGATGCACATAGCTGCAGTATGATATTTTGTTTGAAACAGAGAAATAGCCCAGTATTTTGCATTTTGCAGGCCTGAGTGCACAACTAATGACCTGCATGTCTATCTGCAAGAAGGTGTGTTCCTTTAAAAGAGTGCTGCCTGCTGCCTTTGAACACTGAAGAATTAATCTTCTCACCGCTACATCTGTAGAAAACTACTTCAGACTCCTTTCTTTCCCACCCTGGAAGGTGGGAATGGTAATTCTGCTTTCTGCCTGCTCTTGTCTTCTTGACTGTAATAGCTCTGGGCTGACATCACTGCCTCCACCACTGGGGCCCTCAGAGGCCTGGAGACTTTGGGGCAGTAGCACCAATGTCATGGAGGGTTCCCAGCCCCTGCCTTACAACGTGGAACAAAATTACATGTGTGTGTTACCCATCTGGGCTTACCCTTTGTGCCCTGTGCGCTCGCTCCGTGCGCGGGGGTGTTGCTCACGCCCTCAGCACCCGGCCGTCACCAATAATTGGGCTCAGCTCAGGCTTCCATGACGCCAGGCAAAGGGGCTCATGAGCAAAAGGGAAGGAACGGAAATGAAAGGAAAACCTGCTGGGCTCACCCTGCTCCCCGCCAAGGTTTTTCCCACGCTTGCCCAGGCCTGATAAACAGCTTTGACGTTCCTGAAACAGCAGCAGCTGAGTTGCCAGCTCTACGTCACAGCCCATGTCACACTGAAGGAGAGGGTTGGGTTTCACCCTCTGCACTAAAATTATCCTTCAGGCTGGGCCAGTGACTCAGTTTTGTTTTCCATGGAAAATGCATGCCCGCTCCCATCACCTCTGCCACTGGCATGGCAGCCTGTCTGGCATGGTTTGCCTCCTGCCCCAGTCCAGCAGTCTATGACAGCCCCTGTGTGGCCAGACAGTGCCCTTCAATCTGTCCCCACTGTCCCATCTTCATTCTTCAGATCTGTCAGGGACCTCGCTGTCCCCACACATGGGCCAGGCAGGTCTTCTCCACTTTCCTACAGGGCTTTTAAAGTTTTGGGAAAAGTCCTTCCTATCTTTCCATTGCTGTGCCATTTTGAAATTAATTTTTTGTGTGGTTTCTTATTCTTCTCCTTTTTTTTTGTGTATGAGCTGCTTCTTTTAATTTGATGGGATGATTTTTCATATGAATGTTGTGTTTGGGTTTTTTTTACCACAGACTTGGTGCCGTGTAGCAACCCTTGTTTATTGCTGCAATACCTCATAATCAGTGACTTGTGTAAAGAAGGACATTCTTGATGCTGGCAGCAGTTTGCACTGGCAAGAGCACAGGAGGTGGAAATGCTGACAGTAATGACAAGTGACAGCAGGGATACCCTTACTGGTGGCCCAAGTGACTAGCAACTATGATGACTGTTAAAACTCTGGGCTCTGCAGAGTCTGTGGACACTTAACCCTGGGAAATACACCACATCTCTCCAAAGGAGATGGGGAACTATGCTGGGCAGCCCACATTGCTTTTGCTTTATTAAAGTAAGATGCTGTACTAAATCCTGTATGCATGACCATAATTCATTCTTTCTTATAGAGAGACAGAAAACAAGATGTTTTCTTCTACCATCCTTCTACAGAAATGATGTAAACGTTATTTTCAGAAGATGTTGACTTTTGAATTAAAGAAATAGTATGTAGAAAGCTCCAAAGATTTGTCATGGAACAAACGCTGTATCTATAAGGCAACATGTAGCTTTAATATTAAGTTTTTTAGCCTTAGAATGTCTACTTTAAAGTAAATAAATAACGCAGCTTGTCAGAAGGACTAAACTCTGAATAATCCCTCTCACCTGGCATTCAGCTTTGAAAGAAGCTGCTTCTGTTGTAGGCTTGAAGAGGAGCTCTTTCCTAAAGCTGGCTACTTTTGCAATCATACAAATCCAGCTAAAGACATTGCCTCTTCCTGCAGACCCAGTCCTGTCAAAGGAATCGGGTTTCTTTACTTGTGTGTTGGCTCAGTACTCTGCAGATTTCCAATGAAATATGATGTTTTATGCCAGCACAGGACCTGTTCTGAATCTTTGGTTTTGTCAAATGTGTTTGCTTGAACCCAGAGGAGACTACGAGCAACAGGAAGTGTCCCTTACCATGGGAGAAAGCTTACCTAAACTGAAGACATTTTTCCCTGTTTCCAGCCTGCTGGGACATCCTAGATGGGGAATCTCATTCAGAAGTCTGTAAAGTTCATGTTTCGTGTAGGTGAGAAGGGAAGAAAAATAGCAATAATAAAACTAGGTGAAAAAAGAAATTATAAAAATTAAAGTGTACCGAGAGAGTGGTAGCCCAAAAAAACCAGTCAACCACACCCCTAAGGAAAGGGGTTGTGGAGGAAGAGGGGGAAGAAAGGAGGATGGAGAACCATGTTTGGCTGCTCCTTCTCAGCCTGTTTTATGAATTTATAGAAAGTATATTAATTATGGGGGACCACATCCATATGCAAAGGTTCCTAAACATCAGCATTTCTTTTTGGGCAATACAGATCCCTGATAGACCTCACCAATCTAACAGGGCACTCATGGGGTTTGCTCGCACACATGCTGTTCACTCAGGGGCTGATCACCCTGTAGGGATGAGTGCATGCCTTTTGGGTGCCCTGCAAAAGGAAGGAAACCTTGGATGGATTTAACCTTTCACACTTGCTTCAGGGAAGTACCAAACATTTGCACCTCCCACTGAAGTGAATAGATTAGGCATGAAATAATCTCTAGCCGGTGGAAATAAACAGTCGGCACTTACGATTCTGTTCTTTCAATTCCAAGAAAAGTTTTCTTAACAGAGCTGCTGAATTTGGGCATTGAAAGTGCCCAACTCCCTTCCATTTAATTTCCACCTTGTGCTAGCTCACACTGCCAAAATGATATTGCCCTTATTTGTTCCAACAGTCTCACTCTTACAGATGTGGATGAAAAGGACTGATGGTCCCCATGGGAAACATTATGAGTAATAATCAGAGGATGAAGTCCAGAATGAAGTGATGCGGGACAAGTTTCCATACACCTGCTGCCTCCCCATCACTGAGCCACCTGAGCTGGACTCGTGAAACAGGCAATGGCAAAAGCTAAGCCACAGGAAGCAAAGCATTACTGTGTGCTTCAAAGGCTGGGGCTCAATGTTGCCTATATTAGAGCAGCTCTAGCATGATGTCAGATGTGAGGCTCACTAACAGAATCTCTCCCTCCAGAAGATCTTTTTAAACAGCAGAAGAAAATGTTGGATATTGCCTCAACGGGGAAACATGTCCCTGCCAGCCAAAAGCACCAGGCAAGGGCAGCCAAGCACAATACATCATTAAAACTTCCTCCTTTACTTCTACAGCAGCTGCCTGAAACATGGCTGGCAAAGGGCTGTAGAGGAGGGAGACATAAATGGTGTGTGTTTGGTCAGGTGCCTTGAGCACTGCAGTGAACTTTGGGCACCTGAACCCAAGGGTGTGAGCAGAATCACGGCACTCCAGTGCTGTAAACAGCTCTGTACTGAAAACCCTCACACTAATGTGCCCTGCTCTGTAACAGCAGCCTATAGGAAAATGTTTGGGATGAGACACAAACCTCACATCAGGCCAGCAATGGTCATAGTTAA